AATACTAGGTAGCCAGTTAATTAAAACTAAAAATAATAAAATAATAATTAAAACTGGCCTTTACACTGAAACTAAAATTAAAAATAAAATTAATTAATTTAAATTGAAATCAAATCAATTGAAACATAATAATTTGGAAAGTGTGGATAAACTATTTGTTGTCGGTCTTGATTGATTTGGTTATATTTCATCCAGGCAGTTAGAGTTGAGTCTCTGTTTATAATACCTTGTAAAGTGTTGATTTTGGTTTTGGTTGGCTATGATGGAGTATTTCGCTTTTAATATATATATAAAGCAAAATACTCCATATTCTATATATAGAATAAATATAGATATAGATAAGCAATTATTTATTGTGACATTGTCATAATGCCGGGCTGCAACTTTTAATAATATTTTTAATTTATTTAATCTAAAATATATTCTCTCCACCTCAAATTAGTAGTAGTTTTCTCCTGTACATCATACTTTTTCTTTATCAATAGTCGTGCCGATCATCTAACATCTTTTGGGGGAAGTTTTGAATTGAAATAACATGACTTTTGGTTTGCACTGGAAGTTTGTATATAGTTAATTGGGGCCTCCTGCCCCTAAAGTTTTCATATCTGACTCATCTTTCATCTGTCTAACTCCATTCTCGAGATTGAGGAAAGACACGTGTATGGATGGACAGATGGATGACAGTGGGAGTTTATAGGTCTACAATTTTTTCAAATTGCAGCCCAATAAAATTGTCTTTTCCATTAAAATTATTTAACAATGGTGAAATTAGCACTTTAATGCTAATCAAATTATCACATTAGTGGTAATAAAAACCAGTACTTTCCACATCCCATTGACATCATCTTCAGGTAAAATAGAACATTTTAAAAATGCCTGTTATAAAATTTGTTTGACCAAAAGAACACAATTAAATTTGTAAATATTAAAATTCAAATGTAAATTCTGCAAATTCTATAAATGGAATTTGTAGAATTCAAACAACAATCTTTAGTGATTGCAAATTTACCGGGTATTACATTACTGGTAATTTGGTAATTATATTTGGGATTATCAGTTTATCGGTAATTTACCGGTAAATTCGTATTAATTAAAAAATGATTTAAAATGAAACTGAATTACTGACAGAATTATTGAACAACCATTTATTTTCAAGTTTCTATCAGTTTAGACAAACAACATTCTTGTAATAGCAATTATTATGACATAACAGATATTGAAATAACGCTGATCATTAATTATGCTTTTCATTATTTTGAAAGTAGGCTCTTAAAAAACGTAATACATTTAGGCTCTCGTCGTATAATCTAGATCTAATTTTTGTACAAATGGTAGCTGTATTAGAAAAAGCTTTCTCAGAATCAATACTAGTTGGATGTACAGTAAGACCCTGCTTAATGCGAGGGATGTGTTCTTAGACAACAAAGCATTAAATGAGGTCATTTTAACATAGAACAAGTAAAACGGCAAGGCTGTATTTGGGACAAGACTATGTCTCTGAGACTCACTGTTAAGCGGAATCACTTTGACGTTCAAGGCGAGTCTCATTCTCATTCTTCAATCTTCTTTGGTATCACTGCTTTTGGGTGCGATTGTTCAAACTTCACCAGCCACGATGCATTTTCGATGAAATTAACCTATCCAATTTCAAAATTGAAATTGTCCTGGGTTGAAATTTTGTCGATGCGTAACAAAAATTTCCCGTTTTTGAAAAAAATAATCATGGCTATTGTATCGTCCAAAATTATTTTTTTATTTTGCACAAACAATATACAGTTTAACCCAATTATAATGTCATCGGATGTAACGACAACCCTAATATAACATCAAATTTTTATTGGTTACATGATTTTCCTATACTAGATAATGTTAAAAAACATACTTGTAACAATACCCTGTTTTAATGTCATACTTGAAGCACTCCCAAATTTACAAAATTAGATTACAAATTTTATTTAACATAGAAGAAACTATGTGTTCAGTCCTAAGGTCAGAGTTCACTTCTTAGAATGACTGTGGGTGGTACTCTCCCCTACCTAACTTCGGTGGGGTGAGGTGCCTGTTTTGCCTGTTTCTAGAAGAGGGTTGCCATTTTGGATTTTATTTTGACTCAATTCTCAGTCCCCTGACTACTTACAAGTCTGGATTTTTTTATGTGCAAATGATTTGGGCACCTAATACTCTGTGCCAAATATCAACTCTTGATATGTACACCTTCATACCTCTATGCTGGTAACATAAAATGGCAGTATGATTTTATAGACAAGACATAGTCTTGTCAATAAATATGGATAGGGGAACATGTGACCAAAAATAAACAAATTTTACTTTAATTTTATGTTTATTATAATACAAATTAATATAAAATTGACTATATGTTAAATATTACATATGCATACAGAAATGTAAAGTTCATTTTTTGTGATGAAGGTCCTGACTTTTCTGAAATTCTTGTTCTTTTGCAATAAAGTCATGAAAGTTTCAACTGTTGCTTTTTTCTTTCCTTAAACAAATGTCGGTAGCAGAAGATCGCATCCAAAACGCCTTGTCTTGCTCTTGCACTCCTTTCAAAATCTGGATCATTTGCTACAATTTGATCAACGATTTTGGAAAACTTTTACTAAGTTTCGAAATCTGTAGAGAAATTTTTTGGGTTCTTCATTTTCAGAATATCTATTTTCCAGTTCTACATGAAATCCATGTTCTGCCAGTTCTTGAAGGTCATCATTGGTAAGGCTCTCACCAGAAACCTGCTGTAACTCCTCAATATCCTGTTAGTCTAAATCTCCTATATTGATTAGATTGACAATTTAGTCAAACTAACGATACAATGATAGGCTCTTCTCATTGAGAATTCTTGGATAACTTCAGCCAAACTTTTTCCACACTTCGTTCATGCATTTATCAGTTAATTCTTGCCAAGCGAAGTCGATATTTCCTATGGCATCCATGATATATTTTTTCCAAAATTGCACCAAACAAACATAGATTTAAAGAAAGTATACCTTTTTGCCACCTTTTGCTGATTTGCTTGTGTTCACAAATAATCATATTATACATGAATCAATGAAATGCCGCGATAATTGAAATCAGCATAAATTTTGAGTTTTTTCTTAGGCTTTGAGCAGAACGCATTATATTGAATCAGTGTTAAGCAGGATCTTACTGTACTGTCATTAGAGCATTGAAAACCTCTTTGATACATTCCTTGTATTTTTTGCTGTAAGAAATAATTCATTTCTTTCTTAACTATATCTTTTACACTTTTAAACTTACTATTATTACTGTTATCAGTCTATGCTTGTTTTATGTTTAATGAATAAGTCCAATTTCTCTTGTATTGTTAAATTTGACTTTTCTATTATGCACTTTGTTCTCGTGTCGATGTGAGAAATTGGTATGGTAAGCAATGAACACCCTTCACTAGAATCTGAGTCTGAACTAATTTCAGTAACATCCAGAAGTCATGATTCATTTTCATTTTCTGATAAGTGCTTGATTATTTCTATAATACTATTCAAAATAATATTTTTGTTAACATTATGGGGTATTTCATGTGACTTATATTTGTTCAATTTTTCTGGGTTATTTTCCTGTATTATACTCCAAAAACAGTATTGTGACAATGCCGAAGGGTCCCCTTATGCTTCGGCACCACAGGACCGACGGGTCAACATTGCGTCGGCAAAGACTACAATGACAAATTTATCAGGACTGACACCACTGTGTCTTCTGGGTAGACACAGAGACTGTTATGTTCGCATTTACGCGCGAGCAGTCGCGTCTGTGGGCGATTGGACTCGGGATGGAGACCACTTGAGGAAGTGCACCCAACACAATTCTAACAATAACAAAATTCATTTATTAAACTAGGTCTACAAAAGAGTATTTACCTTAAAGTGTCTTCGCGAGAACCGAGTTGGAGAGAGAGCTTACATAACATCGCAGGTTGTTATAAATACCTGAAACATGTACGAATTTGAGTTATGTACGAATTTCCAGATGTCTGTGGAGTTGTTGGGGAGCCTTGGGAATGTCTCTGTTGCCTTGGATGGTGGTTAAAGTCTATCAAAAGTTGAGATTCGTTGGTTCTTCGTAGGTATTCCCAGAGAAACACTGGATATTTGGGAGGAGCGCACGGCGATGAGCAATGATGATAAATCCTTTTGGCTGGCTCACAGGGAATATTCTCGCGGACTTTCAACTTCTCTCACTGTTTCTTGAGGTCTCCTCTTTATTTCCAAGTCATGTTGTCATTTTCCATCAATAGTGAATATTTTGTTGTAGTTTCCAGTGACACATTCTGAGTTCCACGGGAAAGGAAACGACTTCGGGAAGGGAAATTCACTCATCCTCTGGTAATAAAATGGAAAAGGTTTTTTTTTCCTCTGAGATTTAAATAAATTTCCTTTTCAAAACGAAAAATGAATTTTCTTTTGAAAAATTCCCGAATAAAATTGTGCGTTTTTCCTTTTCCAAGTTCAATCTCTCACAGTATATTTGGAATATAATACAGAGGATCATGTTAGAAAAAATCTAGAAAATTCTTTTAATAACCTTAAATTACGAATGGAATGACCCATCACCACCTGCACTGTTTTTTCTCTATGATATGGGGTGAGACAAAAAAGAAATCTATTTCCCACTGGTATTTCCTGTAAGAATTTTAGGAAAATAAATATCAGGTTAATTAAGAGGTTTTTTAACAGAAATACCAGTAAAAAATTAATTACCGGTAAATTTACCGGGGTATAATTTTCCGGTATCACTAATAATCTTTCAAAGGTATTTATCATCAGATGTTATCAAATTTATGATAAGATTTACACTTGTCAAAAAAATTGAGTGTTATATGCAAATGGTAGTGAAACTTTGCAAAAATTGAATAAATATAAAGTAAGTTGTTCTAAATTAATAATAATTTTATTTTTTTAGTATTTTTTCATAATTAATTGTATAATATAAATATGTTTGTAAATGTAATAAATTTAATTTTTTAGGTTAAGTTTGCCTTTTCAAATGAATCATATTCGTCGAGTTGTTCTGTACACAAAGAATCTTCGCTATTTTACCCAATGTCAGTTTTCTTCTGAAAGTGCTAGTCAATGCTTTTCTGAACCTTCAAGAAAAGAAAATACACAGGAAGGTAAATATTTTAAGATATGCAGTTCATATTTTAACATTTTTATAAATGTTTGTCTGTAGTTTTGTTTTATAGAACAAAACTATACTCAAGACAAAAATTTCATACCATATGTGAAATAAATACAGTAATACCCCGCACTTATGCAATAGGTGGGACCGAGCAATAACCGCATAAGTTGAATTCGCGTAAGTCAGGGTATAATTTCACAATTTGTGTAAAATCCAAGTCAGATGTAAGCAAGCTAATAAATATTAATAAAATAAAAGTACGACTCTTACAAAAAAAATTTTGTTTCAGTCATTTCTTTCGTTGTTCGCACCATCAGCAGTTCATAAAATCACAAACTCACGGAGACGACCTCGTTGGCCATGTAAAACTTATTATTTTTTACTTGAAATGTATTTTGTGATTGTGGCAAGAACACCAGATGACGCTTTTATCATTTGTTTACATTTTAACTACGGAGGCAGTAGCCTAAAAAGGAAGGTCGTCTCCGTGAGTTTGTGATTTTATGAACTGCTGATGGTGCGAACAACGAAAGAAATGACTGAAACAAAATTTTTTTTTTTTGTAAGAGTCGTACTTTTATTTTATTAATATAAAATAATCGTTGGCCATGTAAAACTTATTATTTTTTACTTGAAGCTAATAAATGTTCTCGTTAATCTTATCTCGTCTTTTGGTTCGTTCGTGGTTGCAAGAAATTACCACATAGAGTCTCCCAAGTCTCCGTAGATATAACAAACAGAAATAAATAACACAAAATAAATTGTAGCTATGTGTCAATTCCGTGCAACACGTCCGAACATGTAAGCTGAACAATAGTGTGGGGGGAGTGAGTAATCAAGAGTTGCGTGGCACTCAAACAAAAGACAAATCAATGAGATTTGAAAATCGCATAACTCCGGGTTCGCATAAGTTGGGGTAGTGTAAGTCAAGGTATTACTGTAATTGTATTTTATATTGCAATGTTTTGTTATATATATGATTTGTAAGGAAATTAAAAAGTATTGAATAAAAATTAATCTAAAATCCATTCTTTTCCTATTAAGCTATTTATATCACAATATATTTTAGCTTCGACCAAACCCAATATAAATCAATGCTATCCCTCAGATAAAATTATAAATGATCCTCCATAAAGAGAATTTAAATCAGTTAAACAAATTTTTCAAATTTATATTTATTTCATTTATTGAAAATTATGCAAATTTTAGAATATACTATCTGATAAATCTTAAGTACTATAAGTACAGAAATTCAGGCATGAATTATTCTTAACAGTAGCTCAAGTTCAAAATCTTTAACAGATTGGACTGATGTAAACAAGTCGGATGTATGTAAGCTAATAAATGTTCTCGTTAATCTTATCTCGTCTTTTGATTCGTTCGTGGTTGCAAGAAATCACCACATAGAGTCTCTCACAATAGTACACACAGGAAAAACCTTAAATCTCCAATAAAGAACTTTAATATATGTAAGTTTCAGACAAACGTTTTTGATTTTTTACTAAAATAATCATCAGGTCTGTCCAACATTCCAAATTGGAGTGCATCTCAATTTGAAACATTGGAGAGACCTGATGTTGATTTTAGTAAAAGATCAAAAACGTTTGTCTGAAACTTACATATATTAAAGTTCTTTATTGGAGATTTAAGGTTTTTCTTGTGTGTGTAGTATCTTAACAGCAGAAATTTAGCAAGGGAGGTTCAATTTAAAAAAAATTAAGAAGTATTGAATATTATTGGAATAAAACAGCAACATGCAATACTTCTTAATTTGTACAAATAATAATACTGTACGAATTATATATTATACATGTTATTGTGTATGACTGATTTATAGCAGTTGAATCTATTATAAAAAATAATCAAAAGAAATCACTAAACAAATCACATGGCAGGTTTATGTCATTAGTTTCATATGAATGTGAAAGGAAATCATATTTCATTTCTAAATGTTTGGAAATTTTGGGTTCTACAGTTTAAATTTATACTTATATGGCAACTGGCTTTAATTTAATTTTATATTTAAATATAAACAAACTTCACTTATTTAAAAAAAAGGATATTAATAGCAGAGGGTTCAATTGTTCTCTTGCACCCCGACTGCACCACTGGTTCTTAGTGAATATTTAAACAGTCTGAAAGACTACAATAAATATGAACAAATATTTAACTAAGCACACTTTTTTTTTTTTGTTTTATATTTTTAATAGAAATTGAAAATCAATAAATTTTTTTTTTTTTAATTAAAGTACAGTGAGTGATCGGTTAACGAACATAATACGTTCCAAGACTTTGTTCGCTATCCGAATTGTTCATTAACCGATTATTGATTTACCATAGGTTTCTATGGGAATTTGATTGATTCGTTCTGGAGACCCCAAAAAATAAAAAAATATAGTCTATACTTTCTTACTACATTTATTCATATGGAATAATAAAAATACCTATATACACGGTCTTGCACTTTTATTAGTCATGTTTTTTCCGTTTGTGGGGGTTAAGGAATCTATCCAATGTTGATTGCTTTTCTGTCTTCTTCATGATTTTTCAGAAGTAATTAATAGCATTGTAACTGTAGAGATCCCTAGGCCTATTAATTTCAACCTGGTTTGGATGCCATTTTAAGACCGTTGTTCTGACATCCTTCCACTTCTTCAAAAGATCTTTAATGCCTTAAGTTCCCAGCAATTTTTGATATTAATGTAATTAAACATAAAAAATACTTAAAACTGAAAGAAAACAAAAGAAATGCATTAATTTTGAAGAAAAAGCTTCAAACTTTATTTTCCTTTGTCTCGCCTTTCTGCGAAATTTGACATTGATGAGTCATTGTTTACACAGCTGGATGACTTTGAACACAGCTGGAGTCAGATTTCCCGGGACATTCTCATAGAAGTCTTGGGAGACAAGGGTTTAAAGTAGGGTGAGTTCTAGCTGGCCGTATATTTTTAAATATTTTTTAAAAATTAAAATTTTAATTGCGATTTCCGACCCCCATGACTTAATTAAACATGTATATAATAAAATCTATTAATTAAAAAAATTAAAAAACTATTGGAGGTGGTTTTTGACATCAGAAAGCAGCTTTAAATTTACCAAAGGAAAATCCGTGCGCTACAACTTAGGAACCATGAAATAAATTTGATAAAAAACTCCCATTAAAAAACAATTAAGCCTTAATCGAGCCTTATCAAAGGCTCATTAAAATCGCGATAAAAATTTTTGAAAAAATTTGGAGACTTAAAAAACATTCCAAAAATTCAAAAAAACAAAAATTTTGGGGGGGCCGAAAGGACCGAGTTTTATGTAAGGCTATGTAACATGTCCGAGTTAACTCGGGCGAAGAACTAAAGGGGTTAATAGCAGATATTGGCATAAATCTGTTTTTTTCAGAAGAAAACGTAAAAAAATTGTTTCTATCAGAAATATAAAAGGCTGGAATTACAAGAGAGAGTTTCAAAGTTCGGGGAATATTATTCAATTAGTATATACTGGGTTGAACGTCGATGTCAACATCTCCCGCGCACTGAAAAGTTTCGAATTGTTGCCTGAAGACAAAGGAAGACCAAACGATATTTGTTATTTTATGTTGCTTCTTCTTGTGTTTGTTCAGTGAAGCGTTCATTATCCGAACATGTGTTCGTTGTCTGATCATGAAAATGTTTCGCGAAAGTGTTCGTTAACCGATCACCCACTGTATGTTATATATTATTTTTGAGAAATTGCATAAATTGCAGATTTAATTTTTTTTAATACAAATTCTTAATTTTTAAGACAAATATTGTAATGGTTTGCTGGTTTGCTTTCTTCACATTATATTAGACTAAGGATTCCAACTAATTATAATAGAAATATATCATGCTCATTGACACCTCAATGATCATGATCAGCTCTTTCTCTTTTCTTTATTATAAATTTATAACTGATTAAGATAATAAACAAAACACCACAAAAACCATAAAATATCACCTGCACAGAGTTTTAATATAATTTAAACTTAGACAAACATTTTCAATATAATGTTAGATCTGCATCAGGTCTGTATGGACAAATGTTTTTATATTTTAGAATGTACAGAAGAATGGTTTAAATTTGAAAACACAAAGAATGTTTTCAGCTTCAGAATAAGGTACTAAATTTTTCAACGATAGAATTACATTGAAAAATAAATAAATATATATATTATATGTATAGAATAGATATAGATAAAAGTTTACAAAGCATAAAATAAGATTAGAGTGTTCTTATTTCAAATCAACCAAGGGTGGGAATAGTCTGGAAAAATTAAAATGGCATGTTAAACAATCATAAAAAGGCAGATTTGTACAGTTTTACAAGTGAAGATATGTAAAATTATGCCCAGGGAATTAAAAAAAAATTAAAACAGAAAAACTTTTGTCATCTGATAAGTCTGCATATTCGATAATCTGGTACTGCATCAGTCCTAATGATGCCAGGTTAACAGAATGTCACTGTACACTGGAAATGAATATACTCAGATTTGGCTGAATGATGTGTGAGATGTGTAGGGAGTCTCTAACTCTTGACCGGCCACAGGTTGGTAATTCATCTCATCACTGGATGGACTGGCACTTTCATAAATTGTCAGCAGGATTGCAAGATCCAGCCAACGTCAGAATGCTGACACCAGTTAGGATAAAGTTAAATGTGTCCTAACTCGTGAATTGTAACAAAGGTTGAATAAGAGGGTCTAAATTATCGAATGGGGAGGTTGGTGAATAAATCTATAAGTGTCCAAGGCTTGATAGAGACAGGTAGCCAGGATAATGAATAAAAATATTAGTTTAATATAAACATCTAAATCTAAAGATACTCAGAAATATGGTATATACATTACAGGTGTGAGCCGCCGGGGGGTTGGGAAGTCCTCTCCTTCCGGCCACACGTCGGTGACCTACTTTCTTGTCAAGGATGGCGTTTCGTTCAGTTACGCGTTACGCGAGTGGAGGAGAGTCGGAGGGGTCGACGATAAGACGTTGGCAAAGTCGAGTAACGACACCATTTAAAAAACAAAACAAGAGTTTATTAACCTAACTAACTAAATAAAATCTTACAAAACTTTTTAGACTTTGCAGATGAGAGAGAGAGTTTACAATAATAAGCGTTCATACCTCTTTGCATATACTAGTGGGATATTTTCCTGTAATGTCATCCAAATGGATTCTGATCGGTGACACAAGTATAGGTCTGCGATGGGAGTGTAGGTCTGCAATGAAAGTGTAAGGCTGCGATGGAGAAGGCAATGTCTGACTTCGACGTTTGGTGATTCCCTCGATGAGGGGAAGGTGTCGGGTTTTTATACCTTGATTCACTTTTTGTTTCAGCACATTTCATTTTTGCCTCTATTTCTTGAGGATCGTCATCTGCAACTTAAAAAATCTAGGAGCAACTTGCTATGTCAACAGCTTTCTTCAGGTATGGTATCATAATCCAGCTTTTATACCTTTTTCGGTGGGAAAATTAATTAGGTGATCAATTGTTTTAGCAGGTGTGGGGTTAAAGGTGGTGATCGAATGACAACAATATGATGAATTTTGCCTGTAAGTGTAAACTATGCATGGTTTGATCGTGAGAATGTTTATAGTTAAACCAAAAGAGTTATAAATTTCTCATGCACTTTATATTTTGTTTTTGTAGTTTATAGTTCTTGTTTTAATAAATTTAAATAAAAATTCCTTTAGTTTTAAATAAAAATTCCTTTAACTAAAGGAATTTTTATTTAAATTTATTAAAATTTTAAAGGATTACTTTCTTTTACGACATTATATGAACTTCGAATTTCACACAGGAATACAGAATATGCATCTAATATGACATGACAAATTATCTATATGCTCCATTGCGTTCTATCTGCTATTCGCTCTTGAGAGAGTTTACAGAAATACCTTGGAGAGAGATGTGGTTCTCTATCTTTGTGGAGATTGAGCTGTAATCGATGTCTTCCTTTCTTATAAGGCTATTCGTCTTTTATGGGAAAGTCCGCTTCAGGCTGTTCCGGATATGATGAGATGGAAATCTTCTCCTTCGTTCGTGGTTTGTGGAGTCCGTCTTGTGATCGTCGTTCTGGGGATAGCTGCGGGGAACTGGGTGGCTGTCACCGGTGTATGGCTGGTCCACCCCGACTGGAGTTCTCGCCTCCCTTTTATCGATTTAGCTTGGGAAAAAGAGTCAGATGATCGACTGTTTGATGATGCATCTGCAGGTGTGCAGTCAGAGGTGAGCCGTTGATGACGTAAAACTGTCATTATATGGAGCTGTCGTGACCACATTTGGTTCGAGACTTGTACGCTTCCTTTTAATTAATGGCCAACATAAAACTTAAATTGAAAATGAATGTATATTCTCTTCATTTTAAATTTTGTTTAGAATAAGAATTGGGAGGCAAAAAAAATTCTGTTTGATATCACAAAGATAGTAGTTAAATTTAAATCAAACTCCAGTTTAACATTTGTATCTTTAATGATTTTGTTTCATTCTTAAAAATAATAAATTTAAGAAAACAATAAGTTTATCCATATTCAAACTTATTTGCTATACAGGTATACCTCGACTTACGTCGTTTCGAGTTACATCGTTCCTGATTATACGTCGTTTGTCAAAAAAATATATGGAAAAATAAAAATCAAGTTTAAGTCATTTTATTCGAGTTTACGTCTGTCTGCCACAAATATTGAAGTCGTAATATCACTAGAAAAATGTTTAAAGCACATAAAATCATATTATAATATATACATTTACAAGTATATACTGTATTTACAGTACATGCATTTGTAAATTTAAATTACTTTTTTCTGTACTATATTAAAAACTAAAATTTNTTAAAGCACATAAAATCATATTATAATATATACATTTACAAGTATATACTGTATTTACAGTACATGCATTTGTAAATTTAAATTACTTTTTTCTGTACTATATTAAAAACTAAAATTTGTTTGTTTGTAAGCTTAAAATAGATCTTTATTAACCATATATTATTAAAAATGCATTAATAAATAAAATACAGAACGGGAATTGGTAATTTATGGTTTAGCCTAGTGGCAAGTAGATTCGGAGACAAGTAAATTCGACTTACGTCGTTTTTCAACTTAAGTCGTTCTCCTGGAACCAATTACCGACGTAAAGTGAGGTATACCTGTATAGCTTAATTTTCAATGATTGAAAAATATAATTTTTTGTTAAGCTTCTATAATTAAAAATTTCAATAAGGATTAATAATACTGCTAAGAACATTAAACATTTGTTCTTAGCAGTATTATCAGATAATATTCATATGAAATTTATTCTAAGTTATTTAAAAAAAATAATTTTATGTGCTATTTTCTTTTTAAATTTTGCAGGGAATGTTTCTAGAAAAAAATATCAAGAAAGAGAAATTTGTTTATTTGGACCAAAAGATATGCGTGCTCCTTTACCTGGAAATATTGGTGTTATAACATCATTTCTGTTTGAAAATAATGTAAGTATTACTTTCATGAGTGCAATTTAAAATCTAATTTTTAAAATTAGTTTTTAATAAGTAAAATTGCGCATTATGTAATGAGTATTATTACAACTTTGTTATACATTTTGAAAAAGGATAAAGTATTTATGATTTTGACTAAATTGAACATTGAATATTTTATATAATTTCTTGTAACATTATCAAATCTAACTGTGAAATGAGTTTTACATAAATATTTTATTTTATAATATGAATTGACATATTTTCTATTAAGATTAAAAATGAAATAAAAACTATTAAGTTGCATGAAGCTTGAAATCCATCAAAACAAAATTGTATTGTATTTTTTGATATGACTTTGCCAGAATAGAATACAATAGAGTCTGCCTAATCTGAACATGTTTCCATCAGCCAAAAGGAAATTTTCTCTAACAAGAGGTCCACTTAGGAGTGTTCCCCTTTTTCTTTCCTGAGTGAACCACATGAATAAAGCTTCATCAAGCTTGTGAAACATTGAGGGCCTTGCTGTTTGTCGATTTTCAACTGATTTTTCTGAAGTAGAGGCACAAAACTGCTCGATCTTTCCAGTTTTCAAAACTGCAGTTTTTTCCAGTCGGTTATTGTGGCCTTGCCCAATCCAAACTCTACTGCCAATTTCGTTGCACTTTCACCCTTGTCCAGCCTTTTCAAAACATCCAGCTTATCTTTCAACATACACATTGTGTGTTTCCATCTCATGGCTATTGTAGCAGCAGACTAAACTAAACTAAAATAATGTAGAGCGAAGAGTACATTCAACATTCACAATTAAGTGTGCTAACTCACACAGTAGCATCAGTCAACTGATTGGAATCCTGGACTGTGTATTAAAAACAATGTTTTTTTACAGTTAAAATAATCTTAAGATAAACAATGAAGACAGGTTGCCATTTCAAAATTTAAAAACTTGTTTTTGTTAACTTTTGCATTCTCTATTGAGTTCAACTCAATGAAATAAAGGATTGGTGCTGATGTCATTGATGGTGTTGGATATTTATAAACCAGACCTGTTTTACTGCTTGTTTCTGCATTATAACAATTATTCAGCTAATCCGAACAGGGCTTGGTCCCAATTAGTTTAGTGGGACTCTACTGTATTAGATATGTATTCTAGTAAAATCAAGTTATTAAAAACATATAGCATTTTTGTGCATTTGTTTTTAATTATATATGTAAAGTAATGTCAGAAAGATAATATAGACTTTCCTATGCAACAAAAAATACAGCAGTTTCCAGTAAAATTAATTCCAAAACAAGAGAATGTTGTAAAAATCAAATAAATGACAATACAATAAAACATTAAGTAAAATATAAAATTCTTTTACAATGCATTCTATATTTGAAGTATACAAAAAAATAAAGTGTGTTTTCTATGTTGGCTACAAATTAATAACAATGAAAAAAAAAAAGAACCAATCATGACAACATTGTCAATGTCATGCTGTACTTCCAGCATGAGCAGTTGGAATTCTTAGACTAATATAATGTGAAGAAAACAAACTATTATAATACTTACTTCTTAAAAATGATAATTTGTACTAAAAAAGATAAATCAACATTTTATGTTTATAAGAATGAGTGTTCAAATTTAAATTATTTAAATTTCCTACCTAAATGTGAACTGAGGGAGTTAGAGCGGCAAGCTTCTCCCCACTTATCAGCTTCGTTGTCAGGGATGGCCTTGTTAACTGAGTGGGGAGGGGTAGTGAAGTCGTGATGAGGTGTCAGCAATACTCAAAGATGACTCAATATTAAAATTAAGAATAACATATTTAATATAAAACAAATGATACAAATACATGCAAGTACATTCTAAATTTCAACAAGAAGAAAGTAATAATGATGATTATATCTCTAACTGCATTATTATTTAAAAAACTCCACCATACCTTTAAAATGCAGTCTATTTTAAACACTTATCTAATGTTTTCGGTCAGATTAACAGACCTTCTTCAGGATCAAACTATCAGAATTTAAATTTGCAAAACGGAAATTCCAAACTGCACATTCTATAATCTTCTCAATTGCGCATGCCCATTATTATAATTTTAATGTCGCCGCTTTCCATGCCGATGCTATTTTGCTTGATTCACGAAAATTTATATTTTGCCCTTTTTCTTTGCACTTGTAAATGTGCCAGGCTTCTGCATACTTTAGATGTCTTATATTTTCCACTTTTTGTATGACATCTGCCTTGCTCCATTTGATTTCGATCTCTGTTGGATCTGCGATCGCATAATTAGCCAAAGCCGTGATTGGTTGTTTAAATCTTACATTCTTTTCGTGCTCCTTCAATCTTTTATTTAACGATCTTTTAGTGGCTCCTATATAATATATCTCCTTATTCAGCCTCTTATCATACAACGGTATTCTCTATACACCTGGGATCAGCCTCCTGTCAACGGGTGTTTTGTCATTTCTTAGCATTTAGAATATTGTCGTGTTTCTGTTATATGCCATTTTCTTGTTGCTTTCTATTCCTATTTTTATGTATATGTTACTTAACTGAGCCCTGTATTCCATTACGGTGAACTCTTTTTTCTCTCTTTTATCTTTATTTTTATTGCCTTCTTTTTCTGCTCGTATTAAGGCTTTTACTTTATTCTCCTTAAGTTCTACATCTCTTGCTAGCTTTGCGATGTATTCAAGCTCTTTACGCATATCATGAATCCTGCTACAATGAGTGTATGCTCTTTTAATTAGTGCTCTAAACGCTGCTAGTTTGTAGTTTGTTGGGTCATGTGAGGACCATGGTATCAAATCCGGAACGTACGTCGGCTTTCTATATACTTTCGTATTGATTACCCCTTCTTCATCTACTTCGACCTCTATATCTAAGAAATGTATTCTTTTTTGATTTTGCTGCTCTAGTTCTAATTCCAGGCCATAATTATTGCTGTTTATATCTCTAATTATTAGAGATGTAAACCAATGATCCAGAAATTGGTAGTCAGATATGATGCTTGCCAAGCCATGGAGTCTTCAGTGAAAGGTCCTGTAAATCTTGAGATTTACAAGCATACTTATAAATCTCCTAGGATTTTTTAACTTCCATTTTTTAAAAAATGTTTGAGAAGCACACTTTTTCTATTTGCTCAATAAAGGTTCATACTAATGCTTGTTCACAAAAACAATATCGTTGAAAACTATGATGACCATGTTGTGACCTCACCTTATATGAGATATAGTTATCATATCTCATAAGGGGAGGTCACAAATATTACAAATTAGTTTTTCTGGAAATTTCTGAAAAAGAAAAATTTATACTCATTTAAATATTTTTTAATCGTATATTTTGTAACTCTTGTGAGATGTGATTATTGAGAATATTTGTATGGATAGTAATCAATGAAACTCATCAAACAGTGATGCAGACAATCAGAATTTTATCCAGTGCACAAATTTGATATAAGTATATCTAATATTAGTTCATGCTTGATAAAAACAGAATTTTTTTAAAAATAGATTCTAAATATTTAAAACATTTCTAATTTTTCCATAATTTTCTTCCTGGATTCTTATATCATTTAATAAAAATATATAAGATTAATGGGACTTGTAATACATGCAGCACATCATAAATCAAAAAAATTACAATATTTGATGGACATTCTTTTCTGTTACAACTAGTAGCCTGGGACGCCCCCTAGTGGGCGTTCTTTACAAATTCCTGTGAGGCATGGTTCCTTTGACTTTTTGTTCCTATCAGTATGCTCTACAGCTCTGTTAAAGTTATTGTTAAAGTTCCAATCGCATCATACGGATCTAAATTTCTACCTATTAAACATTCTATAAATACTTTAAAATAGTTTAATTTGTTTATTTACCTTCGCTTGTAAACCTTGATTTTAAATGTATCTGCCATTTTTTCAACAAATTTCCCGCGCAAGAAATTTCCCATGTGTTTCAATGCGCGATGTTCACTGAGTCATGGGATATTGTAAATGTGTGGCGCAAGGTTAATCAAGGCATATAATAAGGCAAGGTATATAATAATTATTTATACCATTCCGTGGTATAAATAATAAATTCATATCAATAATAAATTCCTATTACAAATAAAAATAATTTATTGTTAATTTAAAATCATCTCTAGGGCGCTTCTAGTGCCTGTTTTTAGCATACCATTACACGGACAGACACGTTCAATGGGTTATATAGATAGATTATCTATTAGTGTGGCTTGTATTTTACAAATGTAGAGAGAAAATGTCAATGATCATCATACAAACAAAATGTCAAATTGTTTGAATACATATGATATTTACTAATTATATCCAGTTTAATAAATTTTTATAAGAATTTGGTAACATCTTTCAAAGTAACTCTTTTATAGCTTAAGTAGCTTATTTAAACAAATCAGGCTGGAATTTTGAAGTCAGAATCACTGCTTTAAGATAAAGTATGCTGCACTAATTGTTTAAGTTTAAAACTGTTCACTGGAATGTAAATGTTTAGTAAATTTGTGTATTTATAATGAACTTCCTTAGGTAATTACTTCTCTAGGTCAAAATTGATATCCTGTTGAATAATGAGAGAACTATGTTCATATAATTGAAAAAGTCATTAAGATTCTTACCATTTTAACTGAACTTTAATTATTGATGAGACTATGTCTTGTTTATAAAATCGTGGTGCTGTCCTGGCTTACCAGCTTAAAGGTATGAAGGAATACATATTAGGAGTTGCAATTTGGCACAGAGTATTAGGTGCCCAAATCATGGGTGCATAAAAAAACCAGACTTGTAGCTACCCGTGACCAACAACCAAGTCAAAATAAAATAGAAAATGGCGACTCTTTCTACAAACAGGTACTAGTACCAGATTTGCTCATGCATTGTTTGTTGAGAAGTTCGAAATGCAAATGTTGTGAAATCAAGTTTTGACAAACAAATTTTTGAAAAAACCAATTTATCTGTACTATGTTATTCCCGACATATCTCTGGTTGCAATGTGCTGACCTTGATTGGTTGACC